AAAGTTAAGTCTACTCCTAAGGCGTTTGGTGAAAATTAACGCACATGGTGAAAAGTAGAGACTTAACCGGCCCCACTTGTCAATAGCTATGAACAGGACGCACCGATGCTCAAAGATACCAAACAAACCAGCCTACTTTCATCTACTATCGGAGTAGAGACGTGCTAAAGTGTGGGTATGTTGCAAGTACGCACTGGGCTTGTTGTTGGACGTTGGCCGGCCCCACAACACTGGCATTTCGATTATATACGACCAGAATTGTTTCGTTTCGAGTTGGTTTGGTGCCTACTTACATCTACTGACGAAGATTGATCGACTAGTATGAGAGTTGGCGTTATGAAGGCACTAGAAGTGGCATTGGGTCGGGCTAACTTCTGGTGAAGTTTGCCGGCCCCAAACATAGTTGTAAAACATGGGTCCGGCTGTTGTGTAGGACTGAAATTTTATGCCTACTTACATCTACTAACGATCTACTAACGATGTAGGGGGTCAGCAATTTTAGGTTGTCTTTGGGGCCGGTCTACTTCACTACGCTAAAGTTACTAACTCTTCCAGAATTTACATGAGGTTGCGTATCGTATCTTACCGTTGTGAATGCTGCTTGTTCACCTCCACCATTACCCCCATTCATGCCTACGTCAATGAACGGTATGAGTTCTCCCATCTGCCCGAGAAACATACTCGTCACAGCACTCGCACTTGAGTTCCCAAAGCGATTAAATGACGCTATCATCCCGAAGTAAATGTTCAGCCCGACAAAATCAGCGGAACCTGAAAAGTCGAGTAGAAGAAATTAAAAGCAGGGACATGGTACTTTTGAAATGTCTGATTAAACTGCTCTGACACGAGCTTATGCCAAAGGAAATGTCAGAAGGGTCTACAGAGGGGGGGGGGGGGGGTCGTTGCTCTAGGAAAAGACATTGCTAGACTGTAGACAAAATTTGCACAGATCGTCTTCAGCTTCACTCTCAGCCCGTTACTGACATTTTGCAAATACACAATGAACTTGCTTATACAGCAGTAATACTCACAAAATTGCAAGTAATACTCACAAATTTACTAAGTAATACTAATTATTTTGTTAGCAAGTACTTAGAATCATCTTCCTAAGTAATTCCTAACAAAATAATTAGTATTACGTACTAAATTTGTGAGTATTACTGCTGTATAAGCAAGTTCATTGTGTATTTCCAAAGTGTCAGTAACGGGCTGAGAGTGTTGACAGAATACCACAACCGGTTATTATTTTCCTTTGGAATACATAAGCACTTTTCATTCCTTCGGACAAGTAGAATGCAGAACTTATCAATACAGTAAATAAAATACATACCAGCAAGGTCCTGTTTCTCAGATGCCGAAAATTCCGTTAACTTTGTTCCGACTAAATTCTTGTAAACCTGCAACAGCGATTTATGTTAATGATTGGCTGAGCGACAGCGATGCTTTGTCTGGTCGGAAAAACACTTGTTTCTGTCGGTCTCTCCGCACGATAACTCGAGAACGAGTTGAACCTGCAATCTGCAACTTGCATGTAGGGTCGTTTTGAGTCATATAAAGACAAATCAAGTTCAAAAGCATTCTAGCTCAGAAATTTACTTTAAAAAAGTAAACAACAGGTCACAAAATATGTTTTTTTTTTTTATGTTTTATTTTGTGTGTCTCCCTTAAGAGTAAGACTTCGGGACCAAAATTATTTTCGGATTGGCTCTGTCTCTCACAGAGGGGCTCACAAGCGCAACTGATCGCAACCGCAACGGGTCGCAAGCGAAACGGCCCACAACCGCAACGGCTCACAAGCGCAACCGCGGGGAGCCGCCTGTTATACGGCATCTCATGTCAACGAAGCCGAAGCGGAGCGCGCAGCGAGCCTCTTGATGAGAAATCAACCGAGCCTTTGTTCGCTGTGCACTTCTCGTGTAGAATGCGGTACCTCTCAGACACTTTTCAACGTTTTGACACCCGCACTGCGCCCGCGTTGGTGCGGCAGCAATTACTCTTGTGGTAAATAAATAATTATAAATGGTGCTGAAGTGAGTTGGAAGTCGGGAAACTTCGGTGTAAGTTGTGTCCGGTGGCTTCGTCTCCCACGGCGCACTTACTGTACATTTCGACGCAAGTGATTTCTACTCGCAGAAGTGTGTGTACTCCGCAGATTT